GCAATTTAGAGTTATCTAGTCAAATTACAAATGTACATGCCCTTTGACCCTATATCTTAACTTTCAGGAATTTATCCTATGGACAAAAGCAAAAATAACGTACACGCACAAGGATATTCATTGCAGCATTTCTACAGGTGAGACAGCAATAAATATCCAAAAATTATGAGACATTCATACAATGGAATGTTATGCAGCTGCATAAAAGAATCTGGTAGCTCTTTAGACTCATACAGAACAATCTCATGGCATGTTGTTTAGTTTAAAAAGCAAGTTTCGGAACAGTATTATTGCACTGTTTTTGTTGTTTTGTAAATATATATGATATGCTTGTAAATACACAGAATATCTCTAAAAATATACACAAAATACAAACAACTTTGGTTACATCTACGGAAAAGAACTAAACGCCCAGGAGATGGAGAAAGGCTTGCTTGTGTAGCTTTCAGACTTTAAACCATTATTTACACGATTACTAACCATCAGAACATATCAATTTAAAAGGGTCATATCTATACACACAAAAAACTTTCAAATTATTGATTTGGAAGGTCTCTCAAGACTTCTTCCAAACTTGAGGTTGTTTGTTATTCCAAAATTTCAGAGTATAATAAAAAGAGATGCTGTGCTTATCTTTATTCCTTTTGCATAATCAGTACTTGATAAATAATCATTCTTTAATAGACTTTTTTCTCATTTCTAGCACAAGATCTCATCCTCCTCAATGAAGAGCTCCACTTGAAGTCCACGGCCTACCCCACACAACTCTTCAATGTGGGGAACAGAAGATATATTCCTGGGAGGTTATATTCTGAATTGTAATATAAACAGTAGACATTTATTGTGCCAGAATAATATTTTTTTCCTAAAAGATGCTGCCATAATACATAGTATAGGAGAATTCAGCTGTGTTCTAGGACTTTTTGTCTCATCTAGTTTAGGAGCTAGGACATGTTTATATGAAAAAATAACTACCATGCTAGGAAGGATATTAGATGGCAAATATATAGTACGAATAAGTAATCCCTCAAGAAATTTGGAAGAAAACATTACATCTCCTAAGGTAGGAAGGAAAGGCTTCAAAAAAGAAACAGAATCTGAGTTGGGCTTGATGGATGATCCAATTTCAACAGGCAAGGCACTGCACAGTTAAGGAACATTTGCGTGGTTCAAGAACAAGTGAGCAGACCAGTCTGAACAAATGGAGCCTGAAAGTGACAGGGAGTGCTCCTAGCTCCTGGAAGCCCACATAATCAGTCCCTGATGCCTGTCTGTATCCTTCCAATGCCCTGGGTTAATTAATTACAAGTCTTCTGAATATTTCCCAGAGTGGTCATTTCTTCTGCCTTCTTACCACCTCAATACAATCTATACCCTCACTCCCTCCCTCTGCAAAGATCTCCAAACTTCTCTTACTGTTTCCCATCTTCCCCATCCCCAACTCACAGTACACAACTCATGACATTTGTTCTTTTATAAGCATAACCCACTCACCTCAAAAGTGCCAATAGCTAACTACTGCCTGCAAAATAAAATCATGCTCTTTCTCATTCTAGGCCTTCTAACATCTGCTCTCTATCCTCCTCTCACTCCATCACTGGCTTCACACTCCCTAAACATAATTTGCAAACTTCATGCCCATACTGCTGCTGTTCCTTTTACCTGGAAAATTTTCCTTATCTTCTCAAGCAGGGCACACAGTTATAAAGACTGTGAACACTACAGTTCATATAAATGACACTCCCATCACCACTGTTGGACAGTGTACAACCTCTGCAACCTTCCAAAGATGACTTGTTTCCATCTCCACCCACTTTGCAGGCCAAATTATATCCCAGAACAAGTCAATTGTTGATCAGTTCTGTCTCTGATTCCTAGATCATCAACTTGACACCTTTTCTTTATTAAAAAGAAAAAAGTTAGAATATTTGGAATACCAACAGTGCCTCGAACGCAGCAGATGCTCAAAAAAGATGCTTGCAAATGACAGGATAAGTCAAGAAATGCAGATTATGGTAAAATCATAAAAACCCTTGAAGGGAGGGACGCCTGGGTGGCTCAGCGGTTGAGCATCTGCCTTCGGCTCAGGGTGTGATCCTGGGATCCAGGAACAAGTCCCATATCTGGCTCCTTGCAAGGAGCCTGCTTCTCCTCCCTCTGCCTGTGTTTCTGCCCCTCTCTGTGTCTCTCATGAATAAATAAAATCTTTAAAAAAAAAAAAAAAGGGACCCTTGAAGGCCAAGAAAAAAGTTTGGCTTTATTTGGTAGATGCCAAATATGGTCATATGATCAGGATGGTTTTGTTTTGGTTTTTTTTGAAGATTTTATTTATTCATGAGAGACACAGAGAGTGAGGCAGAGACACAGGCAGAGGGAGAAGCAGGCTCCCCGCAAGGAGCCTGATAACAGAACTCGATCTTGGACCCCAAGATCACGCCCTGAGCCCAAGGTAGACGCTCAACTGCTGAGCCACCCAGGCGTCCTGGGATGATGTTTTAAAGACTAATTTCAGCAACCATAAGAAAGCAGGATTTGAGAGACTATTGTCAAAGTGCCAGTATAGAGGTCCTGTCAGTTGCAGGAGGCCTATGGGAGGCTCCCTCTGGGACTTCCAGCTGCCTTAGCTGCTCACTCATCCTTCAGCTTATCTGTTTGGAATTACAGAGGTTGGTTTTCATATACCTACACTTGGAGAGTGAAGCTTAAAACTGGACCATTACGCCAAGAAAAACATGCTTTTGCCTGAAATATCTGGGTATCTAGGAAACAGTTCTGACTTGAATAATTACATACATATGTAAAATACATATACACAAATCAAGAATTCCTCTTCTTCCTTCACTTCTTTTGCAGTCCCGGTAAGTCTAACTCAATTCTCCTGTTTCCTTTGCTAATGCAGCTTGAACTTTCACTAACCTTAGAATTCCACAATTACTAGTGAATCATTTCAAGGGCAGTTATGGCTCATTTTCCTATGGTCTTCTAAAAGAATCAAGAGCACTTATGTATTTAGATATATAAATTAATTTCACTGTACTGATGGAGTATTAAATAAGTAATTCTTATCTGTAAATCAAAAACTCCTAACATAATACATTAAACAAAATTAGTTTACTAATGAATTTCCTTTTAAAGCATGTATCTTGGATTTCATGCCAAGATATCAATATATCAGTAATGGACTCTGTGGTACTAGACAATTTACCCCTTAGATTAAAAAACGATCTTCACTCTCCAAAGAAGAATATTATGTGTAAGTAATGCACTGCAACCTCAAGATACATAATATCATTGAAAACATGCACATGTCTATCAGGAAAAGATTATCAGGCACAACCTAATTTTAAAAACGAATGGATGGATAAATAAATAAGTAAATAAGAATGAAGGAAGCCTCTTTTTTTTTGTAAGATTGCTCTTTTTTTATTTTTTTTTATTTTTTTTAATTTATTTATGATAGTCACACACAGAGAGAGAGAGAGGCAGAGACACAGGCAGAGGGAGAAGCAGGCTCCATGCACCGGGAGCCCGATATGGGATTCGATCCCGGGTCTCCAGGATCGCACCCTGGGCCAAAGGCAGGCGCCAAACCGCTGCGCCACCCAGGGATCCCAAGGAAGCCTCTTAAAACAGTATCAAAGGAGTGCCTGGGTGGCTCAGTTGGTTAAGTGTGTGACTTGGACTCAGGTCATGATCTCTTGGGTGTCCTGGGATGGAGCCCCTCCTTTGGATCCCTGCCCAGAATCTGCTTGTCCCTCACCCCTCTGCCCCTCCACCTGCTCATGCTTGCTCTCTTGCTCTCTCCCTCAAATAAATAAAATCTTTAAATAAAAAAACATGTTCTAAAACAGTATCAAAGGTAAAACAGAATATACAATTTTGTGTTTGTGTCCAAAGAGACTGTCTCCCTTTAGAGTCCAACTTTACTGTTTATTTCTCCTACCAAATATGCAAAATAAACTCACTAGTACTAAAATCAGAAGTATGTTATCTCTACGGAAAGGTAAACACAGGGACCCCTGGGTGGCCCAGTGGTTGAGCGTCTGCTTTCTGCTCAGGGTGTGATCCCCAGGTCCAGGGATGGAGTCCCACCTCGGGCTCCCTGTCAGGAGCCTGCTTTTCCCTCTGGCCTGTGTCTCTGCCTCTCTTTCTGTGACTCTCATGAATAAACAAAATATTAAAAAAAAAAAAAAAGGAAAGGTAAACACAATCGAAGATTAAAGTATTTTCCTTTCACCCCTTTAAACTGAAAAGAAAAACTATTAACTGGATTTGGGGCTGTTTAAATGTTTGTGATTTTTTTTTTCCCTTGCCCATACTGAAGAGCATTCTGAAAGTCACAGTGTGTATCTTTGATACCAAACGGTGGACAGTTGCTTTTCTAACTCCACACTTTGTAGGAAAAGAAAGAAGAGAGAAGAGGGCACAGACATCCATTATTTAGAGTCTACCGTTAACCGAATCTCCTCTGTAACAGAACAATTCCATCAAAGCGCATATTACGCAGAGCGCCCAGAATGTGTGACCAGTGTATGGCAGACCACATTTCACCATAACAAGACTTCATCTTTTCAAACCCCACCAAGAACTGGCAAATAAGCCAAGGTGCTATTAGCCCGAGGCTAAACTGTTGAAAGACTAGCCATAAAAGTTTAGAGGCATCTAACTAACCAGGTGCTTTTTTGCTCAAAAGGAAACCAGAGACGGGAAGCTTGTTCTGTTTCTCTCCACCTGCCCCTCCCCATGCCCGGCGATTCGCCCTCAAGAGCACCGCGTAGTGCGCAGACCACCGCCCCCTGGTGCCGGGAAAATAGGAGCGAGGAGCGAGGGCCAACCCGTCCCCTGGCTGGCCTCGCCGGGGCCCCGGAGTCAAACAGGACGGAGACAGGACCGACGCACGGGACCGACAGCTGCGACAGGACGGACGGACGGACGGACGGGACGGGCAGAGAAGCAGTGCATCCTACCCGGAGGGCTCCCTCCCAGGGCCGGCGGAGTACCTGCTCCGGTCATCCAGGCTGCGGTTGTCGGCCGCCGCGGCGCGCCAGTCGGGCAGCGTGCTGGCGCACAGCACCACCATGGACACGATCACGAACACGACCGACACGCTGGCCAGGATCTGCGCGGCCAGCGACGACGTCGGCTCCTCGAAGGTCCGCCGCATGCGCTCGAGCCAGCGCCTGGAGGGGGCCGCCTCGCCACCGCCCGGTCGCGCCTCGTCGCGGCCCGGCGCGCCCGGCTCGTCGGCCGAGTAGAAGGTGTAGGTGTCGGACATGCGGTCGTCTAGGCGGCGCTGGCAGCAGTACTCGAGGTGCGCGCCCTCCAGGCCCCAGTAGATCATCTCGTTGTAGAAGGAGAGCTCGCACATCCGCGGCGCGAAGCGCAGCTTGCCGTGGCCGCGCACGTACAGCAGGATGAAGCCGAAAGCCTCCGAGTGCCGGTCGAAGAAGTACTCGTTGCGCTCGCGGTCGTAGTCGTCGCACACCTCGAGCACGTCGCGCTCCGAGCGGCAGCCGTGCAGCCGGCTCACGCGGCGCAGCGGGAAGTCCTTCAGCAGCTCCCGGGACAGCGAGTACCGGGCGCCGCCCACGTTCAGCACCACCGAGGCCGCCCCGCTGCGCCCGAAGGTCATGGCTGGCCGCCCCGAGGCCCCGAGGCCCGAGGCCGCCGCCGCCGCCGCCGCCGCCGCCGCCGCCCCCCGGCCGCCGAGCGGGGCCTGCCTGCCGCTGGCCGCCGGGGAAGCGCGCCGTCGGGGCCCTTCGCCGGCCCGGAGACCCCTCGGCCCCAGCCTCCTCCGCAGCCCGGCGTTGCTGCTAGCGACGCTCCCGCGGCGCGGCGGTACCTGCAGGTGGCCGGGGAGCCCCCTCAGGCGCCAGCGCTGCGCCCCGCTGGCCGGGAACGAGGCTGTCAGCGCCCGGGGATGCCCCCTGCGAGGCCGGGGTGCCCTTTCCAACGGCGGCGCTGTCCCCTCCCGGAGGGGCGCGGGCGCCGGGAGGACGCGCCGGTGCGGGATGGCTCCCGGTCCCCGGCGCTCCCTCTGGCCGCGGCTCCGGCAGCCGCCCCGCCGCCGTCCAGAGGCGAGAGGCAAAGTGAGCGGCTTCGGAGGCGGCGGAGAGCCGGCTCCGCGAGGCGGGGGCGGGGCCTCCTCGCGGTTCCCCCTCCTCGCCTCCCCGCGCCGCTCGGCTCACCTCCCTCCGCGCGCCGCGCCCCTCTCCCCACCCGCGCCCGCACCTCCCGGGCGCGCTCGGCTGGGATTCCCCGGCGCCCCGCCCCGGACCCAGGGCTCCCCGCCTCGTGACGCCGTCCTCCCCCTCCTCTCCCGCCCGCCGCGGCCAGGAGGGGTCCGCGGGCCTGGGGAGCCCCAGGGATGAGGCGGGAGGGGGGCGGAGCCCCGCGGCCGGGGCTCCTCTCCCGCGGGCCGCCCCGGGCCATCAGGGAGGACTGGGGCAGCTCCCGAGGGCCCTTTTAACAGCCCCCCCCAACCCACCACCACCACCACCACCACCACCACCCCCGAGGGAGGCGACTGGAGGGTAAGGAGGGGTGAGGACAGACGGCGTTTGGAGAGCTTTTTCCAGAAACTATCCGGAACCCAGCTCGGTTTCTGAGACCGCCCCAAGGGATTTCTCAGAGAAGGCACCCCAGCAACTGCTTTTCTTGCCGACTCGCTTTTCCTCTCGCGGCGCGGAGACCCACGTACCGCGCGCTCCGAGGGCGGCCACACACCCCGGCACCCGAGCTCGGCGTCGCCCTCCCGGCGGTCCTCCCGCGCAGGGGAGCGGCCGGGGCCCCTGCCTTCTGGGGCGCGGGGCCTAGGAGGGCGCCTACGTGGAGCGCCTGGGCGCTCCCCCACACCCGCCGTGACGCTTCCTGTAGAGTGGGGTGAAAGTGGGGAGAACCGCTCTGCCCCTGGCAAGAACAGAATTCTCCCCATAGCCTTCGTCTGCGTCCTCCTTTTCATAATGTCTCGATTTCCCCCGTGCACCCCCCGCTCCGCCCCTCGAGCCCGCTGCAGCACCGGCTCCCGGAGCTGAAAAGCCCTTTAGGGCTCCTCCGAGCGAACTGCCCTCCGCTCGGGTCGAAGCCCAGGGAGGGGGTTCCAGGGGCAGGGATTATTTTAAACTACTACCAGCAATTCACACGACAGCCGACACCCGCAGCCCAGCCCGCGCCGTGCCCGCCAGAGGTGAAACAGGTGAGTTGCAAGGCAAACTAAGTTAAATGCAAAACAAATGCTGGAAGAAAAGAATAAGGGAAGGGTGGGGTGGGGTGGGGTGGGATGCGGTCATCTGACCTGAGAGTAACCCAGCTGGTTACTGGGAAGGTTTTTACTTGGCCCTTCACTTTTCATAATTTTGTAGGATTGTCCATGCCCACTAGAGGTCACCATAAAGAGTCATTTTGCTCTGATTCTATTACGGATTCCTGGCTGAAAAGCAGACACCTAAAAATTGAAGTGCCGTCCCTCTCACAAAATGAAATCATTCTGGGTGGTTTCTTTAAGAATGGAAATCTCTATGTGTTGTTTATCTTTCGACTTGGATAGTTTATCTTAAAAGCTCTTAATGTGACTGAAAGCTCAAAAACAAGAGTTGTTTATTTGCAAAGTAGCTACTAAACCAAGAAAACATCCTGAAGGAAATGAGTTTCAAGATAGAATGGAAGGAGGTGATGGTCATGAGCTGGCAGAGAGAAAGAGCAGAAAAGCATTCCAATAGCAGAATCTCAGATGTAAAGGATTAAAGTCTATAAAGAAAGCTAATGCATTTGCTTGGCTCAAAGGACCAGGATCTCAGCTGCAGAATTTAGATTTCAAAGTATAAGTAATGGGATGCTTGATGTTTTAAATAGTAGAAATGGCTTGATGAAAGCTTTATTCAGAACGATTCTTTTGCCCTTTAGTTTAATCTAAGGAGAAGGCAATTTTTGCAACCCAAGAATGGGAGCCCCACTCCCCAAATCTTTGTACATGAGGGTCAGTTCTTTTTTTTCTTCTCTTTGTCTTTCTTTCTTTCTTTCTTTCCTTTCTTTTTCTTTTTTTTTTTCTTTCTTTCTTTCTTTCTTTTTTTTTTTTTTTTTGAGGAAGGGTCAGTTCTCAAAAATGCTGAGCAAGACTCAGCAAGGCTTGGAAATGGATTTCTTGGAGGATATGAAGATGAAGAAAAGTTTGCAGATGTGAGTGGAGAGAAGAGCCTGGCTTCACACCAGCAAGAGCAAGTTCCTCAGGGAATTGTTAAAAATACTTTCTAGAAGCATCACAGCAACTGAACACAGAACAACTATTTCATTGATTATTTGTTCCAATGTTATTATATTTATATTTCCTGTGTTCTCTAAAATCTTTTTAAAGTGTTGATTGAACCAGTTGAAGAAATATCACATTTTAAATTAAATTTGAGTTTAGAAAACAAATTAATTTGATGATAATATAATTTGTGCCTCCTAGGTATATTTTCGTAAAATTTCTTAGAGAAATAGGTTTAAATAATTTCATTTGTTTCAAGCGTAATGTGTTTATTTGATTTTGATATCATCAGCCACAACTGCAGAAGCAACACCCAAATCGTGTTCTTTTTCTCCCCCCAAAACTTGCTCTTACACAAAACAGTAAGGTGCAAAAGTGATTGGCTTGTCTCAATATAATCCGGTTTAGAAAGTCTTCTTAAAAACTGTGTTCTTAAAAAAAAAAAAAAAAAAAAAAAAAAAAAAAAACTGTGTTCTTAGAATTATTAAAATTCTATTCCTTTGTACTCTGAGAAGATTATGTTGAGAATCATTTCAGCTAAATTCTTTTCTGGGTTCTGGATGACATTTAGGGCCTTCATATATAAATCTTTAGAATGCATTAAAATTTAAAGGCACCAGGCAGAATTTTAGAGTTTGAAAGAACCAAAGAGATTTTCTAGTCTCAATTTATCAACCCATTTTTTAGGGAGGAACAACAAGTTTTTAGAGATGTGGCTGTGACTTGACCGATGTGGTTCAGTTCCCCTTAGCAGCATCATGGTAGAGACCAGGCTGGAACCAAGTGTTCTAATTCCAGATTCTGGTTCCTCCATTTCCAGGGCCTGCCTTGCTGCCACAACCTTCATCTGACCTCTCCACACCCCAGTTCTTTCCTCCCTCTGTGAATCCTGTATTATGCCACCAGGCAGCTCTTCCTTTTGTTCATTTTTATTAAGCGATTCCCCAGTTCAGATCCTAAAAGGCCTGTAGATCTGTAGAATTACAAAGTGTCTGCATAATGAAGTCCAACCTAGTTATTAGGGCCCTCATTAGATTCAAATTTTGGCCGCATAATTTATTCGCTAAGTGACCTGCAACAGATTCTTTTAGCCTCAGTTTTCTCCTCCATAGAATGGAGGTAATGCTAGCTATGTCACAAGGTGATAAGAGGGTTGAATGAGGTGATGTGAGGATGACATACACCCCAGTGCATGATACTGGCAAAATCACATGTCCATGTACGCCTCCCCTAGCCCAATCAAGCCACGCTCCTTCTCATTCCTGGGTTCTAAATAAATATAAATCGATTCATCTAAAAATGTGACTGATCACAAATAGTAACCTAAAACATCAAAGACTCAGTGAAAAGTCAGAGTACTGCTGACTCTGGGTGGAAAGCACATTCCTCTATCACTTTGCGTTGTACAACTGGTTGAGCTCAGGGACTCTGAACACCCTGCCCCAACACTTCATAAATTGAAATACCTCGTGGGCACTATCAGTCTTTGCTGCTTATTTATCCACTCTGCTTTAAAAAGCCTTCACTCGGGGCACCTGGGTGGCTCAGTCCGTTAAGCGTCTATGTTCAGCTCAGGTCATGATTCCGGGCTCCTGGGATAGAGCCCCACATCAGGCTCCCTGCTCAATGGGGAGTCTGCTTCTCTCTCTGCCCTCTACCAACTCGTGTTCTCTCTTGCTCTCTCTGTCTGAAATAAATAAAATATTAAAAAAAAAATATATATATATATATAGCCTCTTGGGGCACCTGGATGGCTCAGTCAGACGACTAACAATTTCAGCTCAGGTGTTGATCTCAGAATCATGAGTTCAAACCCCACATTGGCTTCCACCTTGGGTGTGGAACCTACTTAAAAATAAATAAATTAAAAATAAATTTAAGATAAATTTAAAATAAATAAATAAAATAAAATAAATAAATAAATAGGGCAGCCCGGGTGGCTCAGCAGTTTAGCATCGCCTTCGGCCTGGAGCATGATCCTGGAGACCTAGGATTGAGTCCCCCACCCCCACCCCCCCAACCCCGTTTGGCTCCCTGGATGGAGCCTGCTTCTCCCTCTGCCTCTGCCTCTCTCTCTCTCTCTCTCTCTCTCTCTCTCTCTCTCTCTCTGTCTCTCATGAATAAATAAATAAAATCTTTTTAAAATAAATAAATATTAACAAAAATAAAAAACTCTCACTGCTGTTAGTTCGTATTTCCAAGCGTTTATAGTTACACCAGCTTATTTCTCAGCATCTGCAGAATCCGTAGATGCTTTAAAATGTCAGCTTTTTTTGAAAGTCAGCCTTCCAATGTCTCTGATTTTATATAAATGAAAGATTTGAATGACTTCACCTACTATGCACAATTACCCAAGTAGATTGCAAAGCTGCAACTTTTAATAAGCT